AGCCAGTTGCCTTTGGTAGGACCACTTGGTGCAGACTCAAACCAGTGTGTAAATCTCTGCAGGTCTACAGACTTCACTGGCAATATAAAGCTCTGATCAGAGGTCTAGAGAAGTCAGCATCCCTCACCATTCACGGAATTTCAAGGGATATAAAATATCTATTAACTGTTAGTGCCCTAAATGCAATGCAGAGTAGTTTTGTGTTTTTCATCCCTCAGTACCATCATAATCACTCATTACAAGATTATGACTGATTAAGTAAGGGATTACAAACAAGTAGTTCTGTGAGCAGAACTAATAAAGCCTTTTATGCTTTCCACACAACCCCAGTGCCCCTTTCCCCACTGCGATACATCACTACAGCATCTCCTTCCCTCTCCCCTTCACCCCCAGTTCCACCCCCAGCCCGGCAGTGGGAGCCCATGGAGCCAAAGGGCTGCCTTGCTGCTCGGGGCCGGCCACCTCCTGCTCAGCAAACGCTGCCGGGAGGCTGCACAAATAGTTTGGGGGTTGCTTGCAAGCCCAGTGCTGTACAATCTACTGTACAACTGTAGTGTTTCGGAAGCCTGTCAGACTGAGTTGAAATCAGTTCAGACTTCAAAGACTACGAAGGAGGAAGAAAGAGCTCACGTGAGTCCTCAGTTCACAAACACAACAAATCTTACACACAAGCCTCATTTCCTTGGGAAACCGCATTAAAAAGAACAAAATTGTTTTTATGCTGCTGCTGTAAGGCAAAGTTTTGAAAACACGTCTCAGACATCTTGAATCAAGACGAGTATTGACATCAAGGTACAGGCAAATTTAATACAATTTGAAAAAAAAGAAAAAAACCTGATGGCGTTATATATCCTATAGCATAGCATTTTTCACACAGAAAAATCCTGCTTTGATAGTTGTGATAAATAAGTGTTAACGGCACCACAGTGCAACTTTCTGTTGTGTGAAATCTGATTTCTGAAGTCTGCCTTGGGAAAACAAGCAATCCTTGTGATACAGCAAAATGCTGAATGGCCTGAAGACAGAGGCCCTTTCAGCCAGCTCTGCTGTTGGCAGGACAGCTAGTACTGTTCATCAAAAGCAGAAATATCAAACTAGATGCCATTGTCTAAATCTCCCAGACAATACTCACACGGAGTGCTCTCGCTATCAGCTCTGCTCCCCTTGTGCCAATTTCATTAAACATCAGGTTAAGGTACCGCAGAGTGGAGTTTTCCTTGGGAACAAACAAAGCAGAAAGCAATGAGACATTTTTCCAGAGCACGCCTGCATTTTTCAGTAAGATTTGTGATACATGTACTTAAAACCTCTGTCCTTCACTGCATTTCAGGCAGCCCCTGACTTGGAGAAGCAGTTAAAGAATGCCAAAGCATGTCAGATGATGATGGAAAGACAGAAAAACATGTAGTGTGTAGGTCCTCATGGGGCTTACAGAAACCACCTAGGAACCTGTGTGTTCAGCATGACCAACAAGGCAGGTGGTCAAGCTCAGATGCAGATCTCCAGGCACTTTGTGAACTTAATGGTCCCCCCTGAGCTCCAGGAACACAGGCACTGAGTGGCAACTCACAATTTTCTGTCTGTGTTCTGGTGCTTACAATGACAGAAAGGTAGCGTCAAAGTTCTCTATGTTTAGACCTACAAAAAGACTAACAGTGATGATAAAGTTTCTAAAACAAAGGCCCTGGCACACTTAACACTGCCATTACCTCCTTCATTGAATTGAACTGTAAGCCTAAAAGACCCACAGTTTATTCCACTTTTCTTTCTTCAGGACACCCTAAGCCAAATGTCCAATGTTTTCTACCAGAAATAAAAAATCTCCCCAGAAAATACAACCTGAGATTCTGCTGGGATGGATTTGGATGTAAAAGTCAAAACTAATGGAATTTTGCCAAACCATTGCATTCTTGTCTCCAATTTACCACAGATAAATATTATCATAGAGAAATATATGGCAAGCTCCTGAATGATAAACATGATTTTGGCACCTGGAGGAATACTGCAATGTGCTTTGCTCCAGCATCAGTCAATACATTACACCTAAGATCCAAACCTGAAAAAGATGAAGAATGAAGAATGTGACAGATGTGTATCTACAATTATCCAATCTCTAAACAAGAAGAAATAAAGATGAACTAAGGCTGAATTCAAGTCTGTTTATGTTTTCTTATATTAGCACAGCAAAGTCAAACATACATGAAAAAGCTTACCTGTGACAAATACAGTATTGCGCAAGACAGAGGCAAGAACTTGAAGATCACCATCTGTAACTCTCTGCACAGGCACCAGATGATTATTTCCAGCTATTTTTAATGTGGTCCCTTTTGTCCATCTGTTGTAACATAAAAATGTAACCACATGGGCAGAAGTAAAATGACACAGAAAAATTAATTCTCTCTCCAGATAAGAGGTTTCCATGCTTTCCCTTGCTGATGTGTTTCCATGCAGTTTGCTGCTGCTGCTACTTTTGTTAACACCACGACAGATGATGTGAGTCAAGCAGTACCTCAGCACTGTCCTTTCTGATATTCTGAAAACACTGCACAGCTGCAAGACCACGCTTAGCACACATGCACGGAAAGCAGGAAGAAGCAAGATGAGAGGAAGGCAGATGGAAATAAAGACTATCCTCATCATCTCCTCTTTACTTGTTCTCTTTCCTTCATTTACTCTATCCTGCCCTCAGGATCAAAGCCTAAGCCAAACCACCTCCCTATGCTGTCTTTCCTCAAGTTTCCTCTCCAAAGGACAATTAACTTTGACCCCAGGAGTATCCATGAAAGGAAGCCCTACCTAGTCACATAATGAGAGAGAATTTGGGTGGTTAATACCTTGGCAGAATTCAGAGACAGTTCAGGGAAGCGTTACCAGCTGGAAACTAACTGTATGCAGCTGGGGCTTTTTAAACAGGAACGAGACAAAAGGAAGGGAGTTAGGACGACTAGACACTGGTTTTGGCTTCTTTAAGGGACACAAAGGCACCATCCTGTACATTTTTCACTTTTTTTTTTTTAAATTTCACTGCTTGTAAAGCTGCCCAGAAGGGATATATAGCTACAAACTTCTGCCAAGATGATGTCAAGATGAGTCAAACCAGAGTTTCAGCAGTAAATCCTAAATATGATCTGTGTTTAAGCCTGAAACTGCATGAACTTTCTTGTTCTTCAATTCCTTGTACTGCTATCTGTTTAAGGCTTTCAGAAACATCTTAAAAACGCTGTTTGTTATTGCCTTACATTTTATCATTTTTATCAGCTTCTTGAAGCACATGAGCAATGAAGGGGTTTTCAGGTTGGCCCAAGTTTTGGCAGGTCTGCACATAGTGCTGATGAAGATCTGGATGAACTGACATGACCTGCTGGAAAACAAACCAAAGAGTTACTGCATCGCTACCGCAGCCTAGCAACATCACCATGGACCCAAGCGTTTCTGTGCAGCCCAGCACTGCATACCAATAAAAATGGGCTTGGTCTGAAAAGGGTTACAACTCTTGGAATGCAACACAAGAATAACAGAGAGATACAGACAGACAAGAAAACTGTGGACTTGTGGGCATGTTTCTGATCTGCCATCACCTAGGATCTGAGCTAACAGAAAATTAATATTCATACAGGCAAGTCCTTTTTCCCTGTAAAGCAGCTGGGCCCCCAGCCTCCACAGGCCTACCTTAGGGATCCGCGCCTGCGTTCCTCTCCCCACAGAGCTGGGCCACGGGTGAGCTCTAACCCCTGGCCAAGTCGGGCTGCTCCTAGATTAATAATGTTTGGTCATGGTGCCCGTTTCCAAGGAGGGCAGCCTGGGCCTTCCACCAAGAGGGAGAGGGCAAAGGTAGCCAGGCCCAGCCCATGGCCCTGGCAAAAGGCCCCACCACCACTCCACCCCAGTGCGGTGCTGGGCCCTCCCCACAGCCGAGGCTTAGCCACATCTGTGGTGCCCGGCCCCCATGGGGAGGGGAGTTTTGTCAGCTCACCCCCAGAGTATTTACTTAGTGGTCTGTCTGTGGTCTCTGAGGAGATTTTGCAAAAATTTCCGTGGTTATACGGATTAGCAGTTACTTCAAAGATGCTTGTGCCAGTCCTTTCCACATAATAAATCCTACTACTGACTTCACTGCTGCCCTTGTTTGCAGGAGGGGTGGGCTGGGATCGCTCTCCTGTTGCACAGCCTGTGAGGCTCACACAAATACTGAACTCAGAGCCAATAAAAAAGAAAATATCCTAATGCAACATCTGAATTAGACTAGAAAGTCCAGCATGGGTCTCTCCCCATGATGGCTGCTCAGTTCTTCATCCTTGTCCTGGTGACATGTGGAAACGGCCCATTTCTGGAAATGTGATGTCCTCGCAGTACAGTTATGGCAACAGAGAAAAGGGCACCAGTGGGAGATAACTGACAGTTGCCTCTTGACCTTCACTTTCTCTCTTACCATTCATTCATTTCTCTCTTACCATTAAATACCAGCTGAAAGGTTCTTCTCTCCAGACGTGGGAGGTCAGTCAGGTAGTCACCCCTTTCCACCTCTTGGTCCTTCACTATCAGCGATACAACATCAAGGGTTATCAAATATCAGATTTGCTGGTATCTCTCTGGGTCAGACACCATAGAATTATAGGAGAAGGTGCCACCTTTGCACAGTAAGACTCTTGCAGTTTTACAATCAGCATAGCTGAAGCCAGATCTCAGCCAGCGTTTGTCAATTTAGGCCTTCAAGACTCAAGGAGGCTGCTTCATCCAGCTCCCCTGACTTCATAAGGTCACCCTCTGAATTTGGCTGTTGGGGTACTACAGGATGCACTGGGGTTCAATGGTATTATTCTGCTGTATTTAATGCAGGATTTTATCTCAATGAACACAGGCAGCTTTTTGCCGGGGTACAACTGATACTAGAACCTGCCCCTAAATGCTGAATTTTGCCAGTATTTATTTAGCATAGGAAGGTCTTTGAGTACTATTGATTTTTTCTTTTTCTCTTCTGAAATTAAAAATAAGGAGCAGAGATGGCTGAATCTCAGCAGAGCCAGGAGGTCAGCGCAGGAAACACGCATTGCCCCAAAGCTGGTTTTGAGAATGACCATGACCAGACTGCACAAGAAATATCAGTGAATGAAGTGCCAGAGAATGAAGCTCTTTCTCCCACATGTGTCACAGACAAGATACTTTTTGTTGATTTATCCAATGAGGAACTGCAAATCATCTTGCCAGAGGTCTTGAGACTAGAATATCTGGAAGAGCTTCACGTGGAAAAGAACCAGATTGTAAGCATCCCCAGAGACATCAATCACCTGAGGCACTTAAAGATTCTCTACTTGGATCAGAATCACATACAGGACATATGTGAAGAACTGGGGGACCTGAAATGTCTTCTGAACTTAGATTTAAGTAACAACCCCCTGTCTTGTAGTTCACTGCCAGTTACCAGCAAGTTGCAGTCCCTTCTTCAGCTCAGGCTCTATAAAACGAACTTACACGAAATCCCAGTGCAGATCTGTGAATGCCTCCATCATGTTGAACTGCTTGGCCTTTCTGAAAATAACCTCATGTGTTTGCCTAAAGAAATAGCGAACCTGAAAAAACTCAAGGAAATTTACCTCCAAAAAAATAGATTTGAAAGTTTTCCCAAGGACCTTTGTCATATTGCTAATTTAGAAATAATAGATCTGGAACAAAATCTAATCAGTCTCATCCCAGAAGAGGTAGGCTTTTTGACAAACTTAGTTAAGCTATTTTTAGCTTTTAATAACTTATCCTCCATTCCTCCTACACTGCAACACTGCCAGAAGCTGGCTGTGCTGGATCTGTCTCATAACCTCCTGCACAAGCTTCCCTCAGTTTTAAAGAATCTCACTGAAATGAGAGTACTCAAACTATCTGCTAACAGCCTGGAGAAGTTCCCACATCAGATCTGCTGCTGGCCGTCCCTTTCCTGTGTTTATCTGAGGAACACTGGGCTGCACAGAGTACCCAAGGCCTTCACCAGATTAACCAGTGTCAGGATACTAGATCTGAGTGAAAACCGCTTTGATAAGATTCCTAAAGGAATATGCACTATGAAAACTCTGGAAGTATTGGCCCTGGATGACAATCAGATACAGGAGGTATATGTTCCTTTGTTTTAATTTTTATTTTATTGATACCTCCCTTTTGCAAAATCTAAGTTCTTCATTACAACCAAGTGCCACCTTTCTCTACTGCAGTGAGAAGGCATGTTCTGCCTGGTGTGCACCTGAGCCTGGGTTACTCACTGTCACTGACGTCTGAGTATCTAGGCAGGGAGAAAAAAAGCAAGAATGTGGAAACTGTGACCTTTGTGTTGAATCATAAAGGTGAAATACTGACTGGAGGAGCTGCTTCAGTCTTTTTGCACATTTGTTTCTGTGTACACTGGAAAATGAGAGCTGCATTTGCATAGAATCAATGTCACAAACTGAAACAGAGCAGAGGGCAATTTAAAAATGGATGCGATATTGTTAATGCCTTTAATGCTCTTAACATTTGCTGTTCATTTGATAATGAACAATTAGATACCTTAAAGCTGTGCTGTTATAAGTGTAACAGCATTTCTGGACATATGCCTTTTAGGGCTCAGAATACATGTCCTTTTTATATAATGCAATGCTTCTTTTCCAAGGAGATTTTCACTTGTGCAATTTTTTTCTCGAAGGTTACATTTACAGAAGTAGTAATTTATGCAAAAGAATCACTTTTAGATTTCATCCATTTAAAATACTCTCCCCTCCACTGTGCATACAAAGGAAATGAAGAAGCACACTAATGTTTCTGCTAAGAAAAAATTAAACCCCACAAGATATCTTCTGAGCAGAGGAAATGACATGGATATTTTTTTGCCAAAATTTCCACCATACTGTGAGGTATAATGTTTTATTAATGAGCAGAATATTCTGTGTTCATCCATCAACAGTAATGCAGCTTCACAGCATTTTCCTAGAGATTTTTCCCTAAGAACAAAATCCCAAAGATTACTGTTTAATTGACATAATGTATATTTTTAATTACTGTGTCCAGATACCTGCGGAGGTGAAAGAACCGACAAATTTGAAATGTCTTAGCCTGTCTGAAAACCAATTCAGAATCTTTCCAAAGGAAATCTTTCTCCTGGAGACATTAGAGAGTTTATACCTGGGACAAGATAAAGGAATTAAATTCACAAGTCTGCCAGAAGACATCAGCAAATTGCAGGTAGGAGCAATGGAAGGGGGAAGATCTTGGACTGCTGTGGCATGGCATTTCCATGGACTTCAGCTGCTCCCAGATGCAGGACTGGTGCAACATCAGCCCAGGGCTGTCAGAATAGGAATAATATCAGGACTCAGTGTTGAAACTCATGTTGTCTCTCTGTGTTTAGCAGTCATCCCAACAGTGTCTGCACTTACTGATATTCTCTGTACACTGATTATGTATCAAGCTAAGGAAAAATCCATTCATTATTATGAGTTATGCATGCATATTTTCCAGAATCTGAAAGAACTACACATGGAGAATAATTGTCTGGAGTACTTGCCTGCAGCCATCAGTTCATTGACGCACTTGAAAATACTTGACTGTCACAACAATCTCCTTAACCAGCTCCCAGACTCTGTATGCCAACTACAAGGTGAAAAATAGCCTTTGTGTTTGTGGCTTTCAGGACACAAGTACCAGTAAGCATTTCGGAAGAAGGAGGGAGAGGAGGGAAGGAAGAAATGCAGTGCATCGTTCAGGGCTCATACTGTAGTTGTAAGGGAGCCAAATAGGATAAAAGTGAGGAACTGGAAGGGTGGGGGCAGTGCTGTACCCAATCCAAGTGGACAGGAGGTCCTTCCCCATGACCTACCTCGACCTCAAGGTCTAAGGAAAAAGGTGTTTCCCAGAGCTCAGCATGAAGCAGACCCCCTGACATGAGAAGACCCACTGGGTCAGCACCAGTGACTCCAGAGGGGTGGTGAGGAACCAGCTCCCTGGGGGTGCACCCCAGCCCAGTCTTTCCATCTTCTCTAGTTCTCCATTGCACCTCTGTGTAGCTAAGTTCACTAGAACTGTTCACTAGCTTTTGAAAGCTGGATTTGGCCATCTGGCTGCCAGGTGAATAGTGTTTACCTAGTGAAGTGAATGGTTTGCTAGGAAAGCCCGAGTCCCATCCTTCTATAGTTGGGAGCAGATACTTTGAATTTTAAATGCTTTGGTGAGATGTTCAATACATATATTCATTACATGCATAGTCTGAATTGCTTGTGTCTCATCCACGTGCTG